GACTCTCACCTCCTACCATATCATAAGCCACAGGCAGCACCCAGTGAATGCCCTTATCCGCAGCAGCCTCATGGGCATGTGACAGCTCAAATGGCGTGTCTAGTATGTGCTTCCAGCATAAAGCCCGAAGGCCCAAAACAATTTTATGATAATGACGATTGTCATGAAAATAGTTCAGTGTGCACATAGGGTATTTGTTGTTTGCTACCAATGGTTGCTTTGGGGTTTTGTTTCCATTTTTTTTTAAGTTTCCAGCCAAGACTTTGGCAGCAACAAAATCAAGGTCCTGGCTAGAGGCTATGTCTGATTCCACATGACCTAAATGGTCAGAGACAGAGTGTCAGCTTCCACAAAGAAAGGAATGCATCATAAAACCAGAAGTAGACACGTGAACAAGCAGTTTATAGTCTAGTAACTAGGGCACATCCAAAGATTAATTTAAAGGTTGCATATCCAAGAGTGTACATAACTGGGTATTTGAGTCTTTGTGCATCTCTGCTTACAGCCGTGTTTAGTTACTTCAAATCTGATCAGCATTATAAGTGGCTAGGATAAAACATCTACTGAAGGAATTAGGTACATGTGACTCACCAGCTCCTCTGACTCAGTGGACTCATGCTGTCATGAGGAGTTAATACCTAGATCCACTAACAGACCATGAGTGGGACAAAGGGGCTATGAGAAGCTGTATCAGCCAATAGCCAGGGGCCCCACTGGCTATTGTTATGACTGTATCCTTTTGGGATATGTAGCATCTATATCTTTTGTTGCTATAATGACAACTTTCTGGCATAGATGTGGCCTGATCATTGTTTCCAAAAATGGTAACTAGATGATGATATAATGCAGTTGGAACTGGTCCCGAGATGGGAGACTGCCTCTTTCTACCCCCGTCTGGTGCACTCCCAGTGTAGGTACGTAAGGGCTGGGAGGCTGTGTCAGGAATCAGAAAGGCAGTGTGGTGCAGGTGCCTATGGCTGTAGGTGGTGATAGCAACAGGGGGCTTTCCACTCCGCGGGGGCCATTGAGAAGGTTAAGGGAGCGGGTTTATCATATTAAATAGAATTTCCCTTTTTGTCAACTAGAACCCTAAGTAGAACACCAAGAACCCAGGGAATAGTTGGATTTAGCTTTAATTTTCATTTTTGCAGCAGCAATGAGAACACAAAGGAAATTTACTCCACTGGACATAACTGACATCTCAAAAGAAGGTTAGTAAAATGTAAAAATAAATGGTTCTTTGTTATGATTTCAAACCACATACCAAGAGCTGGCAGAACAATGTTTTCAAAACCTAGCTGTTCCAAAACAATTTATTATTCCTAAGGCTTATACAGGGTGGGGCAAAAGAAGGTTTACACTGTTCCTATGGGAAATAAAATAATAATTTATAAGTAATAATACAATAATAAACTGTGTTTTGTGTACTCACAATTGTAAACCTACTTTGGCCTCACCCTGTGAAGGGAAGATATCATCACTACCTGCCCAAAAAAATGTTGAAAAGAAAATAAAAGTTTTACATACGATGCAAATGGGAAGGTTTGTACTGTGCTTATAGTACTAATAAAACCTGTTTAAATGTTTTATTATGACTACATATATGTATATATGTATAGTATGCATAAATACATATGAAATAATATATATCATGTATATACAAAAAATTTGCTTTAAAAATGTTAGCAATATTTTTTAATCTTTGTCTGTACCCCTTTCCAATTCCATCTTCTTCCACTAGAACTAGCCACTATGACAAATTCCACTTATTATTTTCTTGCTTTCCCATATATATATATAGAGAGAGAGAGAGAGAGAGACAGAGACAGAGACAGAGACAGAGACAGAGACACACAGAGAGAGAATAGAGCTGTTAAAAAAATCTATATATTTAGTAGAGTGGTGTTGGACCTTATGTAATTGAATCATACTATATTTCCTGCAACCTGCTTTTTTGGTCAGTTTTATTTGTGAGACTCATTTTTATTGGTAGGGGGTAGCTGCCATTCATTTTCACTTCTGCTTTCTAGTCCAATGAAATATAAAAATTTAAGAATTCCTAAGTCACTATTCTGCAGAGGGGACATGCAGAAAACTGAACCTGATACTCAGCCCATTTCTCACTCAAGGTATTTGCAAATTCTGAAGTTCCAGTATCCTCTTCCTCTATATAATTTTGCATTTCAGAAGTCAGACCTCCTTTAACCCCTGGCTGGGATGGGGCAGAAGGGTGTGGGATCCTGACTTGTCTGAGCCAACCATAATGTCTCATTCTCTTGCCCAGAGATTGGTTCATGCATTGACATCTGACTTAATTCTGATAAAACATGGCGGTGGGGGTTGGGAGAGTCTTTGGTAGATAGAGAGGTGAACTCCTGAAAAGAGGTTATTCACCCATAAAAAGTGACACAAGAAAGAGATGAGCCTCTTCTACTGGGTGGTGGTGATGCTCCCTATAATACTGGAAAACTGTGGCAGCCATTTTGTAATTGGGAAGCAAGTTAGCACAGGGATAATCAAAAAGAATGAGAATGAGAGGGGGAAAAAACAGGAAAATAACCTAGTTTCAAGCTACTAAATTAATCAACTTCAAAAGCATCCTACCTTTGTACTCGTATTATGAGATAATAAATTTTTTTATTGTTTAAGCTAATTGAGTTAAGGGATCATGTCACTTGCAACCTAATGTATCCTCATTAACAACCCTTACATACAAAAGATCATAGAAGAGAAAAACAGGAGCTAGACTGGTAAAACTAAGCAGTCTATGTTCAGGTCGTTTAGCAGGAAAAGGTATGGGCAGAGGTAGACGTATTGAGACACAGGGTCAGGAGTCCAGGCTATACTCTTTCCATAACCTTGAGTGAATTTAAACCACTCTGGGCCTCTGTTTCATCATCTATTAAAAAAAAAAAAGAAGAAGAAGAAGAAGTAGGTGGAGAAATCCTCTGAACCATATATGATATGACCCTGTTCTCTGAAGTGGAGCAGTTGAAGACACTTCATATTACTTCAAGCAGAGGTCCTTATCCCGGAAGTATATTGGAAACACCTGGGGAGGTCTCACAATTTCCAGTGCCTGGGCCACAACATGGGCCAGTGAAATCAGAATCTAAGGGTTATGGGGAGATGGGCATCTACAGCTTTTAAAGCTCTCCAGACGGCTCCAGTGTACAGCCAGGGTTGAGGGCCACTGGTGTAGAGAGATCTTCGAAACCCAGTGGTGGGTGTCCATTCATTGGCAGAAGGAGGGAAGGGCCAGGGGGTGAGAAGTCAGCAAGACTGCACGTGAGGGGCTGCTTTTCCTGCAGGATCCCTGCCCACTAGCAAGTGAGTTTGTTCAGGCTACAGTTCCCAGGAGCTGCTAAAAAACCGTGAACCACCTGGCAATGAAAGCTGAAGAGACTCTCTCTTTGCAGATTGACAGACCATCCAAACCTGTGCACAACTTTTGAACTCACAATGATGAAGATGTGCACAGTTCATTAACCAAACTAGAGATGTGCAGCCTTTCAATTTGGGAATAAACTAAAAGGAAAGCCATAAATTTTAAAAAAGAACAGAGTCCTTCCTTAAATGACTAAATTAAACCTTATTTTTTTGAGAACAGAATATAATGCCTCTCAAATTCAAACCATTCTCCCATGTTAAATTTTCAAAGCTGTGTTGTTTCTCCTATTAGGTGTCAGGATGTGAAATACGGTTGATTCTGCTCCCTAAGAGACATGCAGAGACACCGTGCTCTTTGACCAAGCTCTCCTTCAGTCATGCACATGAAGCCGGGGGACAAGCCAGCCTTAGGTCTTAAGCTGGTAAGAGCTGGCCAGAGCCATGCCTGCCTGGAAAGCACTCCCTCTTTAAGAAAGGAAGCAGCTTCAAAGGAGGATCACAGGGGAGACTTCAGGGGAAGTGTAAGCAGAAGACAAAAAGTCACACACTGTCTAACCTAAAGGTCACTTTCCACTTGGCATGGGACCTTGAACAAGTCATTTCCCTGCCCTTTAAGAAAGTTAGGCATTGGAGTCCCATGGTCTTCAAGGTCACTGTTAGACTCAAATTTGCTTTTTCTCTTTGCCATGGGAAGACAGTGTTCTTCACCTAACCGTCAGTATGAACAGAGAGACAGAGGAAACAAAAAAGGGTAATAAACTCCGGGGCCAGAAAGATCAGGCGGGTCATCTAAGAGAGCGAAGCAGTGGGTGAGAACCGCGGCAACGTATGGCAGGATGCTCCGTGCAGGGACGCGTGCCGCATCTACAGGGGCAGCTGCTGTTCAACTCCAGGTGGGTGTCACCATCAAGAAAGATCTGGCAATTTTTTGAGGAAAAGATCTAGATTTTTTTTTAAATGTAGTTTGCTGCTTGTTTAACCTTGGCAATACATTCTGTTCAAAAGAAAGAAAACAAAGAGAAAGTAAGAGAGAGAAAGGAAGAAAGAGAGAGAAAGCAAGCAAACAGTGTTAAACAAAATGCATCTGCAGCCAAATACAGCCTGCAGGCCTGTAGTTTACAACTTCTGAAGAAGAGGATGTTATGACATGATGAAATTTGTTCTTTGTAATTTGACTTTTCTAGTAGGTTCATCACTTATTTCCCCTTATGTTTAAGAGACACTGTGCAGAACTTTTCTGGAATGTGAGGCAGGAACTGAAACTACAACTTGGGTGCATAGATCTGCTGCCTCTTATGCCAAGGAGCTGAACCCATTGCCCCCTCCTGTATCCTCTGTGCAGCTCCAAACTTTGCCCCTTCAGGGAGGTGCCAGAGCTCAAGAGATAGAAGCCATGGCAGTCTTTCCCACACCATCTCCTCCTCCATTTTAAAGCTGAGAAGTGGCCCCAAAATAACCTTGACCCAGAGGGACAGTCCCAGCAGCTCAAGTCACTACTCCTGGACCCCTGCTCCAGTGGACAGGTGTTAGGAAGTCACCCAGAAGACTGGGACCACGTGAGTCCCCTCAGGTGAGTTCTATTCCTGACCCAAACTAACCTCGTTGAGTTGTCCTTAGACACCAGTAGAATCTCAGTTCATGGTTTTTTTTATTTAATTGACTGTGGCTTTGACAAAGAAAACATACTTAGATCTTATATCAAACACTTTTATTCTTGAAGTGAGAAGTTCACTAAAGACAGCTATAGGAGAGTGAAATATTTAGAGTAGAAAAATTGTGAGTGTTAACCAAACTTCAAATACTGTCACAGCAAGAGTTATTCCAATAGCACTTTTTCAAGCATGGCAGATCACAAGTGTTAAAATTAACTGCATTCTCGGAACACCCCACAGTGGGCATGCACAATGACAGAAGCAAACATTCAGGGTCTACTGTCCTTGAGATCTTACAGAATGGATTTATGTACACTCAAAACAAATATATTACAAAACATCCAAAACAATTCACATCCATTTAAAAAACAACAACAACACTTTCACTTCAAAGAAATTGGTAAAAACTCTTAAAACAACAAGATGAATATAGGCAAGAAATGGATTGCTACTTTTACGTGCAAGGTACTGGATTCTTGAATTGAGAATCAGTGTCAGTCCTCACTTCCAACATCACAGCAAAAAAGCGTGATGGGAAAATAAGTCACCTTCAATATGAAGGATGCACCAACAGCACTCTCGAAGATACAACAGTATTGCAGGAGGAATGCCCGTATACAGAGTGGACCTTCTTATGAGGCCCAACAGTCACGAGTTACCAGATGACCCTCAGACATTTGGGTTAAGCAACTACAACATTCCGGTTTAATCAAGGCACTTGCAAAGAGCTATCTTTGGCGTGACAGTCTCTACAAGTCGCTAGCCATTGGTGATGGCATGGTTTTTTGGTTAAGCAGCATTCTATGCTGAGGACCTAAGCAGGATGCCTTGATCACAAACAAGGTCACTTACACAGCAAAGCCAGATGTGGTTAAACTTTTCCCAAATCGTGCTTTTTGATAAATCGTGTCTGAACAGAAAGGCTTCGCTTAAAATCTTGATTCTCCAGAGTTAAAATTCACCTTTCCTCAATACCACTCAACATCCCTAAAGTTTGTTTGGTTTTTCTCCACAGGAACACATAGGATGGATCTTCTTCTTCCCTCTACAAATTACTTCCCCAGGAGAGAACTGTAAAACCAGCTTAGAAACAAAATAATCTTTTGTTTCTCTCCAACAATTAAGTTTCAGACCTCCCACTTCTACTCTGACTTGAGCTACAGAGGCTTTTGTAAACACTTTTCAGACATTCCTCGTACCATTAACACAGCTTTCCTTCACCATCAACTGTTCTTCTTCAACCTTTCCATGCCCAACGTGAAAGCTAGTGAATTGACCGGAAAGGAGAAATGGCATTGAAAAAGTATTGCTTTTACAAAAATTGTGCTCCAGACTGTCACTTGATCCTTCCCAGCAAAGTCTGCAGCATCATCCTTACAGACCCCAACACTAAATTCTCAACTGGCTACTGTTTTGAAGCCAGGTCTCAAAAGCTCAAACCTAAGCCTACTGAAGGAAAGTAGCTAAGACTTCCTAATATTGAGCATGACAGACCTAGAATTATACAGGAATATGACAAGTCAAAACCATTTACTAGGTTGCTTAATTCATCGATAAGAGGCCAAGTTCTCCATTCTCCCCCAGCTCTGCCATTCTGGGAAGAGCCCGCTGGCCAGCCTGGGACTGCCAAAGATTGTTGACTCTAACTCCGTCTTGGGGGGCACCCCTTGGAATGCACAGTTCTGGGATGCCGTCTGCGTCTGAACACCATCAGGTTTCCATTGTGCATGAACAATTCTGTAATTCTGACCATCGTTGTTGTCCCAGAAGACCTGCCCATTGGCATGGTAAGAAATGCAAAACTCAATTTTTTCCTCAGTTGGAATGACAGAGGGTAAGTCAACGGCAAACGAAAAGGTGTCACTATCTGAACCACCATACACATTTTTCATGTAGACACAGTCCACGTTGGTGTAGTTTTTCCAAGAATCAAAAGTTATACGGATCTGAACCTTCTTCTCAAAGCTCACATTTTTTACTTTCACAGTCCCAGTCACTGTTCGCTCTTGAAGAGAGCAGTTCTCCAGACAGACGAAGTTCTTCTGAAAGTGGCTCCTAAAACTTAAGTAATCAGTTGAAGGCTGAGGGAAGTCTAAAATTAAGTTTTTCTCCTCATGGAGTTTTAAGCCAGAGGACAGATCATTGAGGTCCAGGAGATCAAACTGGAGGTCCCACGTGGGTTCTTCTGGGAGGTCAGAGAAGACATGGATGGCAGTGAGAGAGAGACCCTTGGAATCTGCAAACACAACCCGTTTCTTGGCTTGGTTGTGTGAACTCTTCCAGTCATTCTGCGATTTGGCTTCCTGTTTTATATTGAGACACGGTTTCAGAGGCTTTAATTTGTTGACAAAATTTCTTCGTTGAAAGTCATCATAAGGGCCCAGGAAGCTCTTCAGAGGTGGTGAATGAGCCAAGCAGAGCCTCATGGCCACATCCACTGGCATGACAGAACTTGTCAAAGGCCGTGGATCTAAAACCTGGATCATTCTGGAATATAAGAAGAAGAAGGGTTGTTATCACCTGGATCTGGAATACTCTTCCCCAGTCCCAAATACATCCATACATATACTATTTTTGTATTGGCTAAATTATTGCCTACACAGTATCAGGGAGGCATTATCATACATAATAAAAGAAAATAGTATTACGATCATATCTGCGTTCTATGTTTGGTTCTACCCTTAACTGGACACAAGGCCATGGGTTAACTGCTTAACACACTTGGGGGTCTCAGTTTCTTCATCTGTGAAATAAAAGGATTAGATGGGGTAATCTTTAATACACCTCTGAAAACCACTGGCTCTGTTCTGGACCAGTGCTTCTCAAACCTGTCTGGTCACAATGGCCCACAGAGTTGGTTTTCTTTCTTTAATGCAGATTTCTGGGACTTAGAATCATTGAGGCAGAACCTTTGAGGGTGGTGACCGGGAGTTAACATATATTCTTAAAGCTTCCAGAGATACTCAACACACAGAAAGGTTCTGGAGCAATAAGATTCTGGCTACTTTCCTGATTTTGCTATTGAATTGATTGCATGTTTCTGTAAAGATAACATGCCTGAAGAGAAAAAAAAAGAAATAGAAATAACAATTCTCATAGGACAGTTTTGAGATTGAGAGGGCTGGAAAGAGTGATATCAGAGAATTATCTCTGCATTTTGATTATCATGCTCTTCCTCATAACTGACTGAAAGGCAACCCAGCAATGCATGCACTTAAAAACTTTACATAATTTATAGTCTAGTACACATTTAAATGAAAAGAACACATTTAAGTTGAAAAAGCTGATTTACTGAAATTGAACTATTTTAATATATTATATATATGAACTTATAAATATTGAAAAACTTAATAGGAAATAAGCCAAAAAGTTAATTATCTCTGGGTGCTAGGATTGTAGGTGATCTATTTTTGTCTTTGTACTTTTTTTGGCATTTTCTAATCTTTGGGCAATAGATATTTATAACTAGAAATACAATAAAGCTATTTTAAAATGTAAGCAAAACTACGCTCAGTGATATTAAATTAAGAAACGTCCAGCAAGAAGGATTTTTTTCCTGGCCCTTAGCCCTCAGCACACACGGCCAAGATAATGGACTTTCCTCCCTATCCTAGCCTTACAGATAAGAGGTGTGTGGATACTGTATATGACATTTCCCAGTAACTCTTCACAGCAGCTCTAAGCATGTAGATTTCATCACAAAACGGATAGTAAGAAAGCACTCGCAGAATTTCTTAGACCTTGGGATTTTTCTGGAAGAACTACAAACTTAGAACAAACAAATGAACAGTAAAGCTATATTTGCGTGTCTAATAATAGTTAACAGGCAGGATTTTTTGAGAACTAAATTTTGTCTAAGGAAGCCATTGAAAGTTTTGTGGGGGGTCGTGTTTTTCTATTTTTACTTTTTTGCACTTAGAGAAAGACCGTTTTAGAATTTAGCGATTTCCCTGGAATTTTAAATTCTGGCCAAGAGTTCAAAAATCATCACTTGCTCAAACTTGGCCACTGAGTTTGCTATGGCAAACCGTGGTAAGAAGAGTGGAGAAGGCTGAATGAATGCAAACATCGCCCTGTAGTTTTCTCCCCAAGCTAAGCTACCCAACCAACAATGTCAGAGTGCTGTTCCCTCAAGTTAAGAATCCTTGGGGTCTTTGTGCAGGACGAAGAGATAACAGTGAGAATCCATGAGGGTTCAGAACTAAAGCTTACGCTCCTTCATACAGTTTCTGGTTTAAGATGCGGGTTACCAAAATCAGCTCCGCCTAAAGAGCCCAGAGCAAATCTCCACTCCTTCGAGGCCTCTGCCTGCTGGATTCAACTCCGCAGTAGTCAAGTTGCCCTATGGTGGGATCTGCATTTGCAGAGAGGACAGACCCGAAAAGAAGCCCAACCTCCCCGCAGCTGTACGCACCCCTGTGCTCCCCGGAGGAGAGTTTGCAGTGAACCTACCTGGTGCAGCTCATTAGGCAGAGAGGCGGCGACCGACCGAGAGAGCCAGCCCTGGCTGCTAGCGTAAGTTCGCACCGCGTTCCCAGCTGTTCCCGCTGGGCTGTAGCTCCGGCGGATTGCGGGTGCGGCGCCCGGGAGGCCCCTTATCTGCTCCTGACCATGTGACGCGGTCCCTCGACCAACCAGCGTCCAGCTGGGGCGCGAGCCCTCTCCGGGAGTACGTGACCGCCGTGGTGCTGGACTTGCAGGGTGCGGGCGGGGAGCACGAAATGTCACCAGCTGGCCTGAGCGAGCTCCGTGCGAGGGGGCTGCACCACCGCGCGTAGCGGGTGCTGGCAAAGGGAGGACGCCGCAAACATCGCCCAGGCGGGGTGCCAGCTCAGCCCGGGTCCTGGGAAGGAAAAGCCTTGAGTCTTGTCTGTGCGCAGTTAAATCTGGGCACAGAAAGCTGTGGCTCTGTCGCCGTGTGTATGTTATTTGAAGCGTTTCTGTTGTTCAGTGTTAGGTGCATCTGTGCGCCTTCTCCCTCACCTTAGCCAGAGCAAGAAGTTGACTGCACATATTTTGATAAGTGTGTGTCCACAAACACACCTCACAGTAGACAGAAGCCTGCCAGGAATTAACCGTTCTCTAACAAATGTTGTTAATAAAGCCTGCTAGCCCCGTAAAAGTTAGGTGGTATTTCATTAAAAGGCACTTGGTATTTCGATCTTGTCTTCAGTTTTTCTCCCTGGAACAGAAAACTAAAGCCAGGGATGAAATGGCTTTTTTCGCTCACATGGCCAGTCAGCCACAGAGCCAGTGGTCAACCCAAATCCCTCGACTCCATTCTGACGTCCTTTGGCAGAGAAGTGGAAACCAAAATGTTAAAATATTACACTGTAAGTTTCATGACTCTCCAAGCCAGTTACTTTCACTGAGGTTTCATTATTTTGTTTAGTTTGGGGAGTTTTTAGACCATCAGTTACAACCATAAAATTTCTAAGCTGAGTATGAATTATTTTTATAAAACCCATGTCCTCTATCAACTTGAATATCCAGGAGTCAGTTAAAAAGTACAAAATTCCTTGCATCTTTTAAATAACTGTCCAACAGTGGAATTGTTAAAGTGGAGCAATTAGAATGAAGGAAAAAAATACAGGCTGAGTATCACTGGGGAAGACAGTGCTTGGGCTTCAGTTGTGAAATGAAGCATTCAGCTCTAACAGATTCACTAGCCTCTCAGTCCAACCAAAACTAACTGAAAGGACGAGCCTTTGGGTTGAATCTAGGCAAGCTCTAGCCTCAATTTCCTCACCTGTACTGTGGAAATAGAAAAGTTACTCTGAGGATTAAATAAGATTGTGCAGATAAGAAAACCTAGCACAGTACCCAGCACGTGTATTCAACTCACATTGGTTCCAGTCAGTACTCCATTCTTCAGTATTAGTTTTCACTCTGTTACCACGGGAGGCGGGAACCTGAGCTAAGAGATTGATAATAGCTACTGATACATGCTTGTTGAGCCTATCCTGTGAGCTAAACGCTGTGCTAAGTGTTTTATGTCTTATCTATTGAATCCTCACAACAACCCTAAGTGGTATGTACTATTATTAGTCCCATTTTAACAATAAAGTAACCGAGTCACTTAAAGGTCAAAATCTGCCTAGAACCTCACAAGTAGAGCTGGGATTAAAATCTAGCTGATGCCAGAGCAACAACCACTGTATCATACTGTCTTCCTTTAATTTAACATCAATTAAAATGATACAGGTAGGAGGTGCCTTAGGTATCATTGGCTTCAGAGTCCTTATTTCACAGATGAGAAATCTAAAAACTCAGAGAAGCTGTGCTGCTTGTCAGGGACTGGCTAGGTCCAAACCAAAATTAGAACAGTGAGTAGAATTTTCTCCTCCATTCATGATCGTATGTTGAACTAAAAAAAAATGGACGTTACCAATTAAAGGTATGCAGAAACATAAAATAATAAGAATGTATCACGATCCCATTTTGAGGAGAAAGGTATGCATACATAGAAAACAAAATATACTCTACGAAAATATTAATAGTACTTATTTTTTGATGGTGAGATTTGGTAATTAACAACTACTTCTTTGTATTTTTAAATTTTTCTACATTGAACATGGACTTCTGTAATTAAGGAATCATTTTTAAAGGCTATCAAAACTTTCAGATTCAATTAACACATATAGCCTACCTATTAGGTGCCAAGAACTGTGTTGGCACCTCGTACTGGTGTTACTTAATACGGTCCTGAGTTTGCTCGTTTCCATTCATGCAGCTCTCTCTCCTGCCCCCTGGTGCTGACGATGCCATAAAGCCAGTCTCTCCACACTCAGAATAGATCAGCAAACAGTGCTCTCTCCTAAGAGAAGTCAACACTCAGTAAACCTTTAAACTGGACGATTCAGTCCCTCAAATCTTTTTTCACCCAGCTTTATTGAGATCTAATTGACATATAACATTGTTTAAGTTTAGGGTGTACAGTGTGTTAATTTGATACTTAGATATTGTAAAATGATTCCCCCCAGAAATGTTACCTAACACGGCCATCATGTTACATCGTTACCATATCTTTTTTTGGTGACATTTAAGTTTTACTCTCTTAGCAACTTTTACATATATAATACAGTATTATTAACCCAGTTATACATTAGATCCCCAAAAGTTTCTTCTCTTTGTTCAACATTTCTCCATTACCACCCCCTACCACTGGTCCCTGGTAACCACTATTGTACTCTCTGTTCCTATGAGTCTGGCTTTTTTAGATTCCACATACAAGTGAGATCATACAGGATTTGCCTTTCTCCATCTATCTTATTTCACCTAGCATAATCAAGCTCCGCACTTGTCTCTTTCCTGGCTTTTACCACCTTTCATTATGGGATGAGAGGAATCGGGATGAAATCAGTGTTCCTAGGAGTTGCACGAATGAAGAAACAGATTAGGACTTGTGGGAAGTTTTATTATGATTTGTACGTTTTCTCCAACTGCGGTTTGGCATTGCTTTGTCCTACCCCTCTTAGCCATAAATTTACTAGGGAGGCCTTATTGATCTGTGCAGTGTTCTCAGCCATGCCAGGGGTTACAAGGACCATACATCACAGCCCTTTGACATTAAGGATGTTACAGTTTTTACTACAAAAACAAAAAGTTTAAATTCATGAAATACCCAACAAACATTTTAAGGAGCTACTGAGCAATGGCTGATGATCGCATGGCTTACACCAGTGGGTCTCTTACAGCATTTACCCAACATGTCACCAGAGATGTGCCCTGGACTGACACCCCCTGGGGCTTCCCAAGTTGCCAACTTATTTTCGCAGCCTTGCCTTTTTTCAGTGCCCAAGCAAGAAAGTGTTTGAGAATTCAACCTCCTATTTATTTATACTAAAATTTCAGTAGTTTAACCACAATTAGCAGTAACAAGAGGAACATCATAACTGAGCTCCGTGCCCCGTCGTGTAAAGTCAATGAGGTTGAAAAGTGCTCATTTTGATGAAAAGGACCGGGATTTCTATTTTGGAGAGCAGAGAGGAGCCAGCTCAAATGTCTCAGTGAATATTAAGCTTTTACACTAATTTCTTCTCCCTCTGTTAGCCATGTTGGATGGGAATACAGTATCAGGTGAGGGAGTATAATTTCCACATGCACACACACGCTGCTTACTTTGGGTCAGGCACTGTTTAAGCACTTTACAAATATTAACTCATGTGATATTCATAAAAATCCTGTGAGGTAAAAATCATAATGACGATCTCCATTTTACAGAAGAGGAAACTGTGGTTGTCTTTGGGAATTTAAGTAACTTGTACAAGGTTGCACAGCCAGCTGGCAGCAGGACCAGATTTCAAACTCCTCTAGAGTCCATGCTCCAAGTGTGAGTCACTCTGAAACCGACAAGACCAAACTGGTACCTACCAAGGCCCACAAGAAGCTCTGTAGAAGCTCAGAGAAATTCAAAAAGGGGAGGTCTTTCTGTGGAAGACCTGTGGAGGCTTCAAAGAGGAAGTGAGACTTGGGAACGCCAGGAAAATTAAAAGATTGCAAATATGGTGGAGCATCAGCTTTAGGGCATTTAGATGGTAAGAATCCAGCTGCAGGACTCAACCAATGAGAGAGCGAGATCAGAATTGAAATGGTGCCAGCAACCCACCATTATTTTCCAAGGATATAACCCCAGAGGGCAAGAGAAGAAATTAAAAGTGTTGCTGAGTAGACTATGCTATTAAGCATTCAGTTTGCACTGAATTTTCAAGTGTAATTTTCACTGTCTGAAATTTTTTCATTTTTACCTTATACCCCATTTTTAGCATCCCTGTAAGAGAGCAATCTGGGCACAGGCATGAAGGCACAATTGTTTTACAAACAGTAAGTGGTCAAAGAAAGTGCAGGACACCTGAGACATAGGATATGTCTCAACTGAGGTGAAGAAGAAAGAGAGGGAACGGGGAACACACAAAAGATGATACACTTGGTCTCTGTAATAATCTGATGAGATGTAGAGGCAAAAAGACAAGTAACCATACCAGGTTGGCTGAGTGGCAAATGGGTCATGTGAATGTTATACACATTAGCAACCTGTGCTCCAGAACTTCAGAGAAAGGCAAGGCCACCAGGACAAGGATGGCCAAAGGGGACCAGAACATGGAGCGCAACTGCGAGGCAAGCACTTTGGCTAGAGGAGAGGGTTCCACCTGGGGGTGTTGGAGGGGAGTGTCAAAGGAGAAAAAAAATTAAGTCCCCTGAACTATCCTAAACAAAATTAGAGATCTGAATGCCACAAAACGAATGGACAAAGAATGAAATAACCCAAATGGAGGGGAGAAATTATTCTCATATGTTGATAAGTACATCTCCAAGTTGCCACATTTTCTTCATATTCATTGAAGGATTAGGGTGAAGAAAAATATAAGTTAGAGGATGTATAATGAAAAATGTAAACCACTATTGAAGAGCTTTTTAAAAGGCTTTAATACAAAAACTATGGAAGATGTGAGAAGGGCTGTGTTGTGCAGGGGATGGAAAAGGAACGTGACCAAATGTACTGAAGTTCATAGGAAACATCAACATAGGAAAAAATCAAAATGAGAAATAGGAATACTCTGAAAAAAGT